TTTGCCGGGAGCTTCGTCAGGAGAACTTGGGTTGTTAGGTTTGGTAGTTTAGTCATATCGGCCGAGTTGGAGAGTATCTCACAGGAGACGGGCAGTTCACAGAGCCACAGGTTTGGAAACAGTGCCGGATTCACGTTCAGAAGTCTTTCAGGTCTTTGAATCACATTGCTTGAACCCAGGAATTTGGTCAACACTCCTGCGGCCCTGAAAGCGCGCGGTCAGCTGCTGCTGCAGAGCGGCCAGCTTCACCGCAGAGATGGGGTGCGCAAAGAGAGTACATGCTCTGGCAGTTTGAATTTGATCTTGATTTCAAGGGAGATGCGTTGCAGTGCGGCCCTTAAAAGAAGCAACCTTCGTTGAACAACCTTTGGGTGGACTCTCAGTTACTGCTGGGCAGTGCCGCAGTGCCAATTTCGTCCACGTCATTCCACTTAGTGAACTCCTTCATTTTCAGTCCATGCATGTGAGGTGTGGCAACACAAATACAATCAAACACGGGTGTTGCTGCGAAGGTCGGAAGAGGGTCATTACGGGGTGCCTTGTAATGCGCAGAGCTGCATCCTTCAGCTCGCTCTTGTACGCACACTGCAAAGTTCTCAGTGACAATCTCCCCCTCCCATCTTCCAGAATGCCTGCAACCACTCCAACCTTCCGTCCCTTCGCCAGGTCCTTTTGGATCAACAGGCATTTGTGGCCTTCCAACGCATGAGCCTGGTTTCAATGCGCGTAGGCCCGACCGTGTAGGCCTATGTCGTCTAGCCGTCTGCTGAATCCTCAGAAGCTGTGAGTTTGGGCTGTGCTTCAAGCCGCTCCGGACCTTGACAAGTGGACGTTCCCTATGTTTTTTGAACGTTGTGGACGAATTCGGGTTTTCAGGTTTGGACTTGGGTACAGTGCATGCTGATGCTGCTGCTGCTGCTGCTGCTGGTGCTGCTGCTGCTTGTTGATGTGGGCTTTGATGATCGTGCTGCAGGCTGCTATTACTGCTGTGCGGGTTTAGTTCCATCCAGATCGCTGGAATGTAAGCTGATTCACGGATACGAAATCTTAAGAGCCTGCGGCACTGCTTTCAGATTTCGCAATTTCGTCTGCAACTTAATCCCATGCAAATCTAAAACGGGTTCTCACTCGGTTAAATCGGATCTACGAGTAGCTGTCCGAGTTCAGGAGAAGCTCTCTCGAAAAGGGCGTTGCGGTCAAATTTCTGGGATGTCGGCGTGGCTACTGCTCCCAGAGGCGAGAGGCTGCACTGTTTGATTCGCTTCTCCCAGTTTTGGGGCGAAATCACGTTGTATTCTGCTCTGCACCGATTGCGTCATTCAGTTGCTGGTTTGTTCCCATTGTTTCTCAGTTTTGCACAAGACCTGGTGCTCGAAATTTATGTGATATGGCAGGTGCAGCATTTCGCCAATACTGTTTGCTAATGCGCTTGTTCTGATGATTCTGATAGCGAGGCTTCTACCAGGGACGAATCGATGTCACTGGGCAGCCTTTGCTGCGCAAACGGAGCTCTCCGATAGCCACGACGAGAGCACCTGCCTCTTGGATCCTCTCGGCCAGCTCGCGCGTGGGAGTCGACCTTGCCTCTCCCCTCCCTGTCTCCATCCCTCAATCTCCAGTGTCTACGTTTAACAGCAGCCATCAATATGCCGTCATGAGAACACACAGTATCTCATGAAATTCAATTTTTAGAGCAGCTACACTTTCAGCTGTCTAGCGACGCAGGGTGGTTGTGAGAAGAGGGTTCCAGGATGGTTTGTGACGGTCCGACAGCAAAGGTCCCATTTGCAGTGATGGTCGTGGCTGGTCGCAGCTCCATTCCAACTTGATCTATACGTTTGAGTACTCGGGCTTGCCCTGCGCATACGAGTACGAGCAGCGCTACGAACATGCGGAGCCTTCCAGAATCAGTTGCCGTGGTCGCCTGTTATGTTTTTCTTGTCTTCTGTCGCGTCGTCTTCCGTATCCAGGGCCTCGAGCACTCTCTGAGGCTTGATCGTGGAGGTCTCAATCGAGGCCTTTGTGGTGCCGTTTCTGTTCATGTCGACAGATCGCCCGCTGCATTATATGGAGGACGAGACGACGGAGGCGATTGAAGGGTACGACTGGAGGGTACAACATGGTTCATTGCGTACTGAAGTTGCTTGTTGAACCAAGTGGCCCAGGGTTCAGCCAAACCGCTGGAGTTTTCTGTGCGCCATAGGTGGCCTAAGCAGATTGCAGCTAAGCATCTCATCCGTGCAAAAGCATGCCAGGTTTCATCTGTCAATTGGTCCCACACATTGACAGACAGAATCTCGGCAGCACTGAAACATAAGGCGGGGCGCTCCCCGTGTGAAGAAGGAACGCTGGTACTAGTGTACGCTAGATACCGTGTCACATCACTGGGAAGCAAGAGCGAAACAAGCAGCTGACTCCACGGAACCCTGCATTCGGTCGGCTCGCGCTGGGGGGGGTTGGGTTGACGGCCAGCGCGTGCCACGAGCCCTAACTAGCTCATGAACTGTACACTGTCTGCCTTGCTTGAGTTTGTGTGGAAGAAGTGCTTTCCTTTTCAGTTGCGCCCTGTATGAGCTGCAGCCGCATATTGGTGCCATGGGCACCATGGAGAGATTTTGGCAGATGAGACTGCATGTGTGCCCAAATTCACTTCCTCTTTGCGGGGGGGCTGATCCCCGGCACCATTGCTGTGTGCGGCATATTTTGCATCCGAACACGGTGTGTTCAGTGTCATGCTAGGTTTGTGTGCGGCAGGGTTAAGATTGTGCGTTTGTCTGTCTTGTATGCACTCCGAACATGTCCTCGGGTATGAAGACGGCAGAAAGGTCGGTGTGTAAGATAAGGACGTGAGTCCACTCGCATGAACATAAGAACTAACGGGATTTCAGCTTCCGAACTTAGGTTATGAAGTCCAAGTCCAAACCCCTCTGCTGTTTTCTGAGATGGTCAGTCTTGATGACAACAACTAAATTAGAGATGGATCCCCAGGACAGCTTTCCCTGCATGTACACCCCTCCAACAAAAAATCATGCTTCTGCGTGCCATGCGATGCAATGTTTTGGAAGACAAAACATGGAGGGACCTTCTAGCGGCCCGAGGATGCTCGTGACCGCAAGTGAAGGACTCGAGTGCTGTTCAAGGGGAAACCCAAGTATCAACGAATTCAGCCCCGCATACAACTTCTTTACGGGCCTGCGGGTCCGTGTTGGGGATTCTTCCTTGCTGGTTTGCGGTCGAGGACCCCGGAGGCGGCACTAAAACATGAGATGGTGAGGGTCTCCTCACCTTAAGCCGACGAGCACCTCGACCATCAGCAGGATAGGACCAATACGGAGTGACAGTGCCAGCCAGAGCAGGGGGAGCAGTAGGGAATACTCCGGACGTCATTGCCCGCAGGCGACGCCAGACGCCAGCTGGCGTCATGATTCGGCTTCCGCCTCTTGTGTCGTCCACGTCGCTCACAGCAGCCAGGTGGGCTGCGGGAGTAGGGCCTACTCCGGACGCGGGACCCCCCAGACGGACAGGCGGCGGACCGAAGCCGCAGGAGCAGTCAGCGGGAAATGCAAAGTCACGGAGCGAGCTGTGTTCGCGTGACTTGACCGAGATTTTGCCAGACACGGCAGATCTCGCACAACGGCAGTGGTGTGTGGCACATCCTCGCTTTCGTGGTTTCGTGTTGTTGCTTTCTGTTTTTGTTGCTGGTCGTTGTGTTACTGGGCTGGCTCTTCAGGCCTTGGCCAGGCTCGCGCCTCGGCGGGAGCATGGAGTACACAGCAACTTTCTGAACAATCCGAGCTTTTTCTGCGCAGGGACCAACGGGACAGTTGCATATCCCATTGGTTCGAAACAGAGCCTGTCACATCGGGCGCGCTCTTGCGAGTCTTGCAGAGGAGTTCGTTTTGATCTTTATGCCAAACTTTATGCTTGGATTACCGGCTTGACTTTTTCCTCACATGTGATCGCGGTGCCTGCGAGATGATTGGCACATGCTGCAGACGGTGATGGCACCAGGAGTCACCATGCAGCATTGCTCGGAACGGAGGGAGAGCAGCCAGAGAGCAAACTTTGGGGCAAGCGCCTTTCAACCTGGAGTTGAGAGTGACTTCAGTTGCGATGGGATCAAGACTTTGCAAACATCTCGTGCCAGCCGCGTCTACAGTCACACTTGCATTATCCAAGGCTTTAGCGCTTTCAGTGGGGTGACCGAGGCAACCCGGAGGATGAAGAGCAGAGCGACGACCTTGACGACTTCTTTGACCAGTGCCTCCGACGGACTCGGCAAGACCCTTCTGTCACTTCTGTCTGTAGAATCCTTACACGATGCTGCAGCTCTGGCATGTTCTAGACAAGTATTTTACTTTAGAGACTTCAACGTCGAGGCAGTTGCGTCGAAGTTCTGTGCACCTGAGGAATGCCAATGGAGACGCCGATGGAGATGAGGGCTTGTTTAATTGATGTGGCCACATCTGCAGCGCAGCAGACCCAAACACCATTCCTGTCATTTGTGCTAGTTGTTCAGTTCTTGCAAAACAAGGTTGGTTGCTGTGTGGAAGGAAAGGTGTGGGAGCAATGTGCCCACTCGATTGAATTCGAAATTCAGAGCCGTAGGATATAGGATAGACTTCGACTTGGCCTTAGAAGCCTCTTGTTTCTCGTATGGCTTCCGTCATCAATGAGGTGTTGCGTGCCTGAAACTGACAGACTGAGACTCAGCCGATTGAGCCACATCATACTGGAAATTGAACCGCGCACCTTGAATGACGTGAGGTTTCATTAGTCACTAGTGCCAAGCTCAAGTGCAGCCTCTCGAAACAGAGTCACTGCATGTTTCGTGCCCTCTTGAAGGTCGCCATCTGCATGCAAACTTGAGGGGTGGGGAAGAGGGTTGAACGCCCTTAACGGTGCAGGCAAAGCGGGCGGAAAAAGGGGCTGCGGCTACAGACAAGGCTTTCCAAATTGTTGGAAAGCCAAGAGGCAGAGGCCAAGCCAAGCTTCGCCAGGTGGCCCCTGCTTCAGCGCCTGCATGGCGACGACTTGGTCGGGCCATGCGAAGCAAGCTCGTTCCGGAGATGCAGAGCCGCTGGGAGGTGGATTCAAACGACGAAGTTTCTTCGTCTGTAAATGATGGCCGAGCACTGCGACTGAAACTTGCAGGTGGATGTGAAGGACGTGCAGCTAGAGTTACGCACAGACCACACTGGTCATGGAATCTCACTGCGCAGCTTGGTGGCATGCAGCTGTATGAAGGGACTGTGGATTCGGTGCAGCTGAAACTGCTTCCCCGAAAACTCCAAAAGCTTTGCCGAGACCTTGCAAGCCGGAAGCAAAGCAAAAGCAGCAACAGCTCCTGGACATCTGCAGCATGCAGGAACAAAGCATTTCACAAAGCAACCGGCAGGCATCGCAAAGCTGGCTGTCAATCGGGACCGCCTGGGCGGATCAACAGAAGCCTGGCACCTCGGAGATCCTGGGATGGGCAGCTGGCGCGTGTGAGACGAGAATAAAAGTTGCTGTGTTCGCCAAGGTCAATCTCGAAGGAATTACGGCTGAACTTGTTTCGGTCACTGGAGGCGAGGGCGGGGGCTGCAGCGATTCAGTTGTTGATCATCGTGGTATTCCGGCCGGATCGTGATAAGAATCAAACGACTGATGTGTTGCTAGTACAAAGCCCAGAAGATCATAATTTCAATTACTCAAAGTGCGACTTGCTTGGCACGACCTTCTTGGCGTTTTGGAGGGTTGTCTCGCGTATCTTCCTGCAGGCGCAACATGACTGGTCTGTCCCAGACTTGCCAAGCTCTGCAGGCACCTGGGGGTTCGGTGCCGCACCTCTGCTCCAACACCTCGGACTGTCGGCAACACTGGACTCAGGCATTTGCTGCCCCTGCCAGCATGCATGGGCGGGCGGTTTCATGCGTTGCGCAGGTGCAGGACGAGAGGAAGCAGTTCGCGAAGACCACGAGGAGCTGACATGAGGTGATGTGAGATGTGTGTCCTTTCAAGTTGACAGGGCCATTCATCGCCTTAGGCTAGTGAACACGGCGCAGTGCACGCCCCCCGAAGGACAGTGCCCGGCTCAACATTGTTCTCAGCGAGGCGCAGCCACACCGTTTAAGGGCAGTCGTACATTTCAAGCAGTGTTGATTTCACTGTGCGGCCGTGCACACAACCCGATCGTCGATCCGACACTCAGCAGTAGTGTCTTTGGGCGGACACCCATGCAACAGCCATCACTTCCAACCACAGGGCTGTCGGCAACTGCGTTTCTGTTCTTCTGCCGTCTGATGCAGCAAGATGCAACAAGCATGGACTACTCATATACTGATAGATGCATGCGGAAGTGAGCACGATTCTTCGCTCCGCCTAGACGCTTCAATCAACGCACTGAACGTGCGGTGCTCTCGTCGTGAACAAGATTAAGATGGGGCTGCTTCTAGGTATTGCTTTTGTTTCGGGTATATTTTTCTCACAAAGCTAGCTGTGCGGTCCCTGTGGAAGTTGTCGTTTCTCAAATACTGTAGTAGCAGGGCGCCAGGTGAAAACAAAAACTGGCGGGACCTAGCTTGGTCACTGAGCAATGAATAATAGATTAAGGTGGGGGCGATGGCGCCCGCCCCTTGCACCCCACAAATGGTTGATGCAGATGCGACAGGAAGGTGCGATTGTCTAAGGTGGACGGGTCTCACCCCCTCCCTAAATCAAACTCACTTTTCAAGAATGTTTAGAATGCTTTTGCACAGCGCACACCTGTGGTCTCGACCCGGCAGGATCGGCCTTAATTAGTTTATATCAGCAGTTCGTGGTTGCCTTTGCAGGTGCCTGTTGGGACTTTTGCCGCGGTGGTTTACTATTGTGTCGGGCGTTTTGGCATTTGCGGGCCAGCGCATGCCAAACAGCTTTCTGCTTCTTTGCAAATGAAATTCGCAACAGCATGCAACAGCTGTCAGCACCAGCAAAGGCAGTGGGTTGCCTCGACTTCTCTGACCACATCGCTGCCGATATGTCCTGGACCCATTAGGAAGCAACAATGTCAATTCATCCAGGAAATGTAACACTTCTACACACATGATGCCAAGCCTCCGCTACGGTCGAGTGATTGGCGGTGCTACTCTGCTTTAGTGCCCCAACCTTTCCCTGCTACTTCGGGGGACGGTCAGCGCTCAGATGCTAACTGCGGAAGTCTTGCCAAACTCGACGGGTGCTTTGCTTATTTTGGGTGGTTTAGTCCGCGACAAGAACCGATGCAGGCTTCCGGGGTGCAGCCTTCGCTAGCAGCGAGTCCTGGCGCAGTACAGGTGCAGACATGTGCAGACGCAGACGGTGCATTTCTGATTCGCGATGTCGCGCATTGATCTTGTGTACTGCAGTCTTGCATAGCAGTTTCAGAGACGAATCAGTGAGAATCGCACATGCTTCATTTTTGCTTCCGAAGTGTTCTCAGTGTAAAACAGACATCTCATCGCGTTGCGGCAGGGCCAGGGCGATAGCGTGCATGGCAAATCTTACAATGATGCACAACTTCAATCATGCTTCACTCTGCTGGTGCCTTGCAGGTGATAAAGGACCTGGTGGATGTGCCTTCGACTGCGAGCAATACCCATTTTGCATTTTATTTCATTCGCGAGACCCCTTGTTTGGTTCACGAATGAAACTCAAGCCGGGCCAGGAGTCACACGGCCCTCACGGCAGAGTATGCACCGCGCTTTGAAAGCCTGTGCTGAAGGCCTACCTTCAAGGGGCCGCCGCCGGTACATCGGCCCTCCGTGCGTCAGTGTGGAGCTCGATCTTTTACGGGACGCATGACTGCACAGCAGAGTGCACCACAGCGGTGCGCAGTCTTTCGAAGGCTCTGGAAAGGCTCCCTACAGTCCCGAGGGTGACGCCAGAGGTGCCGAGAGGATGCCAGTGCATGGTTGGGCGTGCGACTGCTTGAGCGCTTGCAATGTTACGCAGGCTTACCAGGAGCTGTTGAAGCTGGAGAGGCTCCCGACCCGAGAGGAGCAGGCCCAGCGCCACTTCATCGAGGCCCGGAAGCGCGCAAGAAATAGTGCACAGCCCGATATTCTATCTGCGCTGGCGGGCCCTGTCCCAGCAAGATGGCGCAGGACGTGTGTCCTGGTTTCAGGCAATCATCCTCCATGAAAGCTCAGAGAGCCAGCCAGCAGAATGAGCATCGTTCATTCGGTCTCCACTTCGGCCCTTGTGCAAGCACATGCAAGCACATTTTCGCTTGCACGGCCGGCAAGACCTTGGTGACTGGGAGGGGCACGGAACATGAATACGCAAGACGCCACGCAATGCGTAAGATGCGTTGCAGGTTTGCGCGGAAGGGTTTTTTGCGCCCGATAGAGATTGAAGAAGTGAAACAAGGTCAAGCCTGGAACCCCAAAACAACCCGGAGCGCCATCAAGACCGAAAGGAGTGCGGCATGAGGTTGAGGACGTTCAATCGACGATAGGAGGACTGGAGACCCCAAGACCCAGCATCACGAGCGTCCGCCGGTCTTGCCTCCAAAATGCGGTACCCCGCTCTGCAGTGCATTTTGAAAGCTGCTTGCTATTGTAGATGCCACCAGGAGCGTCTGCCCCTGCCTCCGCTTCTTCCTATGAAGTTCCGGTCGTTATCGTCGTCGTCGATCCTCGGCTTTGTTTTGGTATCGTCGTTGTCGTCTTCGAGACAACAGTGGAGCCACGACGGAGCCGGAGCACGGGAGGTTTTGGGCAGCTTATATGCAATTATTCTAGGGGCTGCGCCCAGGTGCGGGCAGCGCGAGTTGTTGTCAGCGGATGTAGCGGGGGAACCGGAAAGACACGGTCAAAATTTCCAGACGGTGCCGAGACAACGACAGCTCGACACCGGAACAAAAGTGTGACGTAGGCCCGAAGTGCACAACTTATGGGTGATCTTACGCTCTTAGCCCTCGTCGGCCCTCCATGTAGCCCGCATCCGCCCTCCGCCGGACCCCGCTGATGCTGATGATGCGCGCCCTTTTGGGGCTTCCGCAACCCACGCAAAAACTTGGAAATCATCACTTCGCGCCCACTTCGCGCCGCGGGGCCGGTTGCGGGCGCCCGAGTGCTCATGATGCTCGCCGGCTCGCCTCCTGGGGTCGTCCACGGCGGCCCCGAAACCCGCCATGCCGTGGGGAATGGCTGCGAAGCGCGTGCGCGTTCCGAGACGCCTCCGGGCCCGGCCCCGCGCGGCCCAAGGGAGAAACCAGGGTCCGATGATGCGGGGTCCGGGGCGGGTCGGCGGCACTGTCGGTCGTGGCTTCTGCTTCGCAGACGAAGCTCATTCGTCTGAGCCATAGCTCAGTCCATACAGGGCAGCGAAGCGCTGCCCGATTTAATGGCTGACGCCACTGCCGCCGACCCCTAAATGCATAAAGGGGTTGTATTCCGGATTCATAGTACCCTAGATCTTAGGTGTTATAGAAATGAAGCCTCAGGGGCTGCTGGGACCGAGGCGGCGCACGTGCTGCGTCGGGCGGGAGCCTTGGCGTGGCACGGGCGCGGCGAGTGCGATGCACTTCGCTGCGCCAGCGCTGCATTGGTCTCGGCGGCTACCAAGGGTTTAAGGTTTGGGTTTCAGGCTTTTTAGGGCGTGCCCAGAGTTTAGAGACCTCTACCCACAATTTTCATCAGCCCCCTAAACGATCTCTCTCGCTCGGGCCATGTTTTTTTCCAAGGTGCGGCCAACCCTTGTTTGCGAGGTGCGGCCAAGGGTCCCTGGTGCATGCGGTCCCCTAGTCCTCTGGTCCTTCGTCTTGTGGTCCCCTGGTCCTCTGGTCTGCTGGGCGATCACAAACGCAGCAAGCGATTCTATTCACTCCGACGGTCTGCAAGGAATAGAAACTCCGCCCGACGATGACTCATGGAATGCTCCTTGCATCATGGTTCTGCTTCCATCCTATTGTAGCTTCAGTGGGACCGCGTGGTGCCGGAAAGGGGTAGGGCAAACATTGGGGTGCCTTTAAATTACTCTAGTATAACTGAAATTTAAACCAAGCCCAAAGCCCCTGAAAGGGCAACCAACGACGGCCTTTGGTGCCGAGGAGGGCCGGGAGGGCGAGTGGTGCCGGGAAGGGGTGGGGCAGACATTGGGGTGCGTTTAAAATTACTCTAACACCATAAATTACTAGAGTACCCCTGAAAGACCACAAAAACAAGCCCCAAAAACAGCTGCGGGAAGGGGTGGGGCAGATATTGGCGTGCCTGTAAATTACTTTTTAATCCCACTGACACACCACTAAAACAAGCTCCAAAAACCGCTGGAAGTGCAGCTGACAGCAGCGTCGAACCAAGCGAACCGAGCCCAAAACCCCCTAAAAGGGCAACCGACGACGGCCTCTAGTGCCGAGGAGGGCCGGGGAGGGCGAGTGGGGCCGAGTGGGGCCGCGTGGTGCCGGGAAAGGGTGGGGCAGGTCTTGGGTGCCTTTAACTTATTCTAGAACCAAAAATTACTCTTGTACCACTGAAAGACCATTAAAACAAGCCCCAAAAACAGCTGGAAGTGCAGCTGAGAGCAGTGTCGAACCAAGCCAAAAACCACCAAAAATTACGGGCCTCTAGTGCCGAGGAGGATAGGGCGACCGACGACAACCTCTGGTGCCGAGGAGGGCCGGGAAGGGCGAGTGGGGCCAAGTGGGGCCGCGTGGTGCCGGGAAGGGGTAGGGCAGACATTGGGGTGCCTTTAAATTACTCAAGTATAACTGAAATGTAAACCAAGCCCAAAACCCCCTAAAAGGGCAACCAACGACGGCCTCTGGTGCCGAGGAGGGCCGGGAGGGCGAGTGGTGCCGGGAAGGGGTGGGGCAGACATTGGGATGACTTTAAATTACTCTAGTACCACTGAAAGACCATTAAAACCAGCCCCAAAAACGGCTGGAAGTGCAGCTGAGAGCAGTGTCGAACCAAGCCAGGCCCGAGTGGGGCTATTACAGCGCTTGCAGAAGAACCTATCGCAAAGGCAGGTGCCCGACACGAAACAAATGGAATAGATACATATATAGAATTCTGCCGGGAAAGAAAAGGTGCCTGGAAGCTACTCTGGTACCACTGAAAGACCAACAAGCCCCGAAAACAGCTGGAAGTGCAGCTGAGAGCAGTGTCGAACCAAGCCAAAAACCCCCTAAAATTACGGCCTCTGGTGCCGAAGAGGATAGGGCAACCGACGACGGCCTCTGGTGCCGAGGAGGGCCGGGAAGGGCGAGTGGGGCCAAGTGGGGCCGCGTGGTGCCGGGAAGGGGTAGGGCAGACATTGGGGTGCCTTTAAATTACTCAAGTATAACTGAAATTTAAACCAAGCCAAAAACCCCCTAAGTCGTGCCGGGAAGGGGTAGAGCAGACATTGGGGTGCCTTGCAACTGAAATTTAAACCAAGCCAAAATTCCCTAAAAGGGCAACCAACGACGGCCTCTGGTGCCGAAGACATTGAGGTGCCTTTAAATTACTCTAGTACCACTGAAAGACCATTAAAACAAGCACCAAAAACGGCTGGAAGTGCAGCTGAGAGCAGTGTCGAACCAAGCCAGGACCGAGTGGGGCTATTACAGCGCTTGCAGAAGAACCTATCGCAAAGGCAGGTGCCCGACACGAAACAAATGGAATAGATACATATATAGAAAAAACAAGCCCCAAAAACAGCTGGAAGTGCAGCTGAGAGCAGTGTCGAACCAAGCCAAAAACCCCCTAAAATTACGGCCTCTGGTGCCGAGGAGGGCCGGGAAGGGCGAGTAGGGCCAAGTGGGGCCGCGTGGTGCCGGGAAGGGGTAGGGCAGACATTGGGTGCCTTTAAATTACTGAAGTATAACTGAAATTTAAACCAAGCCAAAACCCCCTAAAAGGGCAACCAACGACGGCCTTTGGTGCCGAGGAGGGCCGGGAGGGCGAGTGGTGCCGGGAAGGGGTGGGGCAGACATTGGGGTGCCTTTAAATTACTTTAGTACCACTGAAAGACCATTAAAACAAGCACCAAAAACGGCTGGAAGTGCAGCTGAGAGCAGTGTCGAACCAAGCCAGGACCGAGTGGGACTATTGCAGCGCTTGCAGAAGAACTTATCGCAAAGGCAGGTGCCCGACACGAAACAAATGGAATAGATACATATATAGAATACTGCCGGGAAAGAAAAAGGTGCCTGGAAGCTACTCTAGTACCACTGAAAGACCACTAAAACAAGCCCCAAAAACAGCTGGAAGTGCAGCTGAGAGCAGTGTCGAACCAAGCCAAAAACCCCCTAAAATTACGGCCTCTGGTGCCGAGGAGGATAGGGCAACCGACGACGGCCTCTGGCGCGGTAGGGCAGACATTGGGGTGCCTTTAAATTACTCTAGTATAACTGAAATTTAAACCAAGCCAAAAACCCCCTAAAAGGGCAACCAACGACGGCCTCTGGTGCCGAGGAGGGCCGGGAGGGCGAGTGGTGCCGGGAAGGGGTGGGGCAGACATTGGGGTGCCTTTAAATTACTTTAGTGCCACTGAAAGGCCATGAAAACAAGCTTCAAAAACGGCTGGAAGTGCAGCTGAGAGCAGTGTCGAACCAAGCCAGGACCGAGTGAGGCTATTACAGCACTTGCAGAAGAACCTATCGCAAAGGCAGGTGCCCGACACGAAAAAAATGGAATAGATACATATATAAAATACTGCCGGGAAAGAAAAGGTGCCTGGAAGCAACCGCCGCATGCGTGGTGGCCAGCTATACTAATTGTACTAATTGTGTGCTGCCGGTAGCTATCTCCGAAAGAATTACCAATAAAACAAACCCCCCAAGAAAAAAAAAAAAACAGAGGAGAGCCGTGTAAAACCAAGCCAAAAACCACTAAAACAAGCCCCAGAAACAGCTGGAAGTGCAGCTGAGAGCAGTGTCGAACCAAGCGAGCCGAGCCCAAAACCCTCTAACAAGACCCAAAAACAGCTGGAAGTGCAGCTGAGAGCAGTGTCGAACGAAACGATCCGAGCCCAAAACCCCCTAAAAGGGCAACCGACGACGGCCTCTAGTGCCCAGAAGGGCCGGGGAGGGCGAGTGGTGCCGGGAAGGGGTGGGGCAGACATTGGGGTGCCTTTATTACTCTAGTACCATAAATTACTCGAGTACCACTGAAAGACCACTAAAACAAGCCCCAAAAACAGCTGCGGGAAGGGGTGGGGCAGATATTAGGGTGCCTTTAAATTACTCTAATACCATTGCAAGACCACTAAAACAAGCCCCAAAAACCGCTGGAAGTGCAGCTGAGAGCAGCGTCGAACCAGGCGAACCGAGCCCAAAACCCCCTAAAAAGGCAACCGACGACGGCCTCTAGTGCCGAGGAGGGCCGGGGAGGGCGAGTGGGGCCGAGTGGGGCCGCGTTGTGCCGGGAAGGGGTGGGTCAGATATTGGGGTGAAGAAAAAAAAGCAGATGAGAGCCGTGTAAAACCAAGCCAAAAACTACGTAAAGGGGCAACGGAAGACAGCGTACAATGCCGAGGAGTGCCGAGTAGGACCGAGTGAGGTCGCGTGATGCCGAGCGGGGCCAAGCACTGTATCTCTGAAAACGGCGGCAGCCGCGTAGGGGAGCTTCTGGGCGCCGCCCCGACAGAAGGGGCGGATATAAGGTCCCGGTGCGCATTTTGAAGGGTGCTTGCCAGGAAGCCCCGACGAAGGGCCAAGACCCAGTCCTGCCCCGCTGCGCATTTCGAAGGGTGCTTGCCAGGCGCAGCTAGGAAGCCCCGAGGATGGCCCCAAGACCCAGTCCTGCCTCGAAATGGGCTGATTTCTCTTCGCGCATTTTGAAGGGTGCCTGCCAGGAAGCGTGTATCGGCGGGGAATGCGTGGTATTTGCGGTGACCGGCCTATATATAGGGGGACGAGTGTTCGCGGAGGGGTTCTGCAAAGATATACGTGAACTTCGCGCGAACCCTCCGTGAACGCCCACCCCGCTTACAACCCAAACGAGAACCCAACATCCGAGATGCTTTTCGGGGAAAAATGCACAACTAAACAACGGCACGGATGTCGACAGAGTCCGGACACTCCAAAGATGCTTTCCGGGGCTGCGACAGCCGTGGCGAAGCAGAGCTGGAGTGAAATAACATCGCGTATCCACAGTTCTGAGATTTCTTGAGAGAGAAGGCGAGCCGGGGGCGAGGAAGAGGGTGGGAAAGCCCTGTACTGGCGTTGGTCTAGCTTGGTGGTGTCGGCGAGTATTTTGTGCTGGACATGCTATTCGAAGCCGGTGGTGCATTCCGTGTTCTGCTCACAAGATTGGCGAGGGAAAGGGTGAGTGAAACGGAGTTTCACAGCTCTACTACATCAGTGACAGGTGACCATGTAGCGGCGTAGCCACTAGCTGCTAGCTGCCCGGCACCTTCCGCGAGGCTGTTGCATCGGTGGCTTGGTTGGCGGACTGTCAGGTGCCGGAGTCTTGTACAGAAGAGTTGCTTTCGCCCGTCATGCTGCGACGTATGCGAAGTGCAGAGTTGGACACGCTGCAAGTCCACCTTGAGGGGGCCTGCATAGGCTCGGACAAGGAAAAGGAATGAGGAGTGGACACAGTTGGCACACAGTTGGCACAGTGTGACTGCCAGGTTCGTGCTAAAGCCTTGGCCTCCTCCGAGGAAGAGGCTCCTGAACTCCTGTCATTTCGTCTCCGCCATGCTTTCAAGAGGTCTCTGCTGTCGGAACATCTCAGTGTTTTCCTTTTTGCGCAGTAGATGGGTCAGATCTCTGGCAGGTAATAAGTTTGGATGCCTTCCTGGAGGACTGCATTCGCCTTTCCGTACCCGTGAAGCATTTTTACGACTCAGCTGAAAGCCTTCGTTGAAAGACTGGTGAGCGCATGTTTATCAGCCCGTGAATGATGTCTGATGTCTCAATGCTCTTGGAAGTGTCCATCGATGTCGACGGGTTGCACCAAGAAGTGTAGCTAGAGCACATGAGAGTGCCATATGTAGCTTTTGCCGTTGGGTGCCTCATGTTGTTTTCTCGGGTCGGCGTGGCGAAGTGCAGGAAGAACCAGATGATGCAAGCAAGCCGCAGTGTTTCTCGCTGAGCCTCAAGGCACGAGATTTTCGCCTAGTTCCTTTGAGAGTGCCTTTGTTTGTGGCGGCTTTCTCTGTAGAAATTGCTACAAGCTTCCACGGTCCTATTAACACATCACCAGGCAGAACCCCTCAAGCGATTCAAGCGTAGACGCAGTACAACCACAAGCGAACAAGAGAAACCCTGCTTGGACGAAAAGGCTTGCCATCGTAGTTGAAATTGCGAACAGAACCCGGGTGTCGTGTGCTTTGTAACCCACTGAAACCGCAGAGGCCTGTTTCGGCGAGCACCTTGACCCTTTAGAGCAGGCTCCTCGGAAATTGGGCCGATTGAATTCGAAACAGAACGCGCCCGGCGTAAATTATAAACACCGGAAGAGCACACCACGCATTTGGCCAAGCCCCGTGCCGCAGGATGGAGACGGAACTACGGTGTCTACTACTACAATCACTATACTGTAAATTTAAAGCCTTGTGTGTGGTGTCGCAGCGTGCGCTTTCAACGAAACATATTTAGGACAATACTCGAGCACGTATCTGGCTTAAATACCGACGTGGAGCTCATCGCTGGCTCTTGGACGGTTTGGGAAAGGCTCAGATGCTTGATAGAATTTTTCATTCCTCTTACGCCAGCAAGCCCGCACCCCCCGACCTGTTGCGAAGGCACGGGTTCTCGCAGGAAGCACTCACGTAGAGCAGTGCTCAGAAGCGACTTAAAGGAAGCATGGGAACGGGGAACCCTTTTGCCCCTTTGGCCAGGCCGAGCACTCCCGCCGGGCTTCTGCAAAGACCCTTTTTGCCCTTAACCCTATACACTGGCCTGCGGCCTACACCCTATGCAGGCTGGAGGAGAGCTGTTGCTGTAGGTGTTTAGCGGTTCCCTTGAAAAATCTTGAAAAGAGTAGCCGGCACCCAACCTGAAGCGAATCCCTTGGCCCACGAACGTTTCAAGGGAGTCTTTTTCGTTGTGGGGCAAGAAGGTGTGCATCGTGGCCGTGGGAAGGGGAAGAAGGGAATCGTCCTCACACGAGGGCCAGGAAGAACTCTCAAGGATTTCGAGCCTATTTTGAGCCTCGAGGTTCCAGAGCCTTGGGCCGGACATTTGGCGTTACAAAAATCGGGGCGTTTGCTCAGTTTCTGCAAGAAGTCAACGAAGATGTTGGTCCATGCTTCTATAGTCTTCTTCTGTTTGGATGTGTGTGTTAAAGCAGAAGCATGGCCCACAGACAGGTGAGTACATCCGTACGGCCGTTGCAGACCACATGCACCGTCTTGATTTCGCTACCCCGTGCAACGCCTCCTTCTCATGATGTTTGGCGCCCATGACAAGACTGCGGTCGGACCTTCGTAGCACGGCGACACGCCTTCCCATGACATAGAGCCGAACAGCACCATTGTGCAAGGACTGAAAGGGTCTGGTGGTCTGGGGATTGGGATCTCTATGTTTGTGATGGTCAGACCGGGCCTCCAAGCTGGGAAGGTCCCGTCTGTGGCCGCTTCGTGCACCTCGGTAAAGCGGCCTGACCAGCCACTCGGCAAGTGAACGGAGAACTTGGAATGAAGCTTTAGCCTGGAGCTCTTCAGTTGAGACCCCCACCATGTGTTGGGCTGGAAGCGGTGTCTCGAGTCTGCGAACACCGTGCCGGAGGCCTGGTTTGAGCTTGATTCTCAAAGGCGCCTCTTTGGACCTGTTCCTTGACTGAAATAATCAGGAGGTCTCCTTGCTTTTTGCACTGAGTAAGTTAGTTGGGTCCGTGCATGGGATTGCAGAGTCATTCCAGCAGGATTGCGGATGTCCAGACGTCATCTAGCAACACGTGTCCAGCGGTCTCGTCGACGGGCGCCTTAACTAAGGCGGGGAACGCTGCCAGCTACCTCCGTGGAGGACAGATGACCTGCTCTATCCTGCTTGGATGCGTGGAACTCCCAGTCTTAATGGTTACAGCAAGGTTGCAGGTTTTGCGAGGCTTCGCTTGCACGGGGGTTGCGAAGCTTTGGACACGATGTATGCTGCTTCAACTCTCGAGCGGATGAGAACTTGTTATCCTTGTCCTCGACTCTTTGATCTTTCGTGCACTGTTCCGCAGAGAAAGCAATACATGTGGAGAAAGTATGTCATGCTTGCCTACACGTTTGGTTTCTTTCCGGGCAAGGCAAGGACGGCTAGGCTTTGCCTCTACCGATTCTACTAAAGTGAGTCCGGTTCTGGCAGGCGGACGGCCTACCCCAGGACTGCCACGCCGGTCAAGTCCCAAATAATTTGCAAGAGATGAGGCCCAGGATGGGTTTGAGACATCATTGCTGGATGCTTTGGGCATACTCACGCGGCACATGCAGGATTGTCTTTTTGTCATCCGCTTCAGATGAAAGGAGTGGCACATGATGCCGCCTTTCTGTTCATCCCCGGGCCAGGACATCGTCGTCGATGCGCAGCTCGAGCATCTGGCCTTGCGTGTGACGACGGTGCACAGTGCCGAGGCATCCGTTGAAAGCTTTCCCCGCCTTGCGTTGTGACGAAGGGATCCCCCAAATGAGTTTGGGACGGCGGGCTCAGGAATCGATATAGGAGACAGGTACTTGGTCGCTGTGTGAGCGTGCAACTGTGACAGGACTTGGTTGTGCTGTCCGGCGATGTGGACAGGCCCGGTGCTGGAACGCGGGAATGCTGTTGAAGGGATCCTCTAAGAGCTTGGGGATCAGACTGTTGAAGAGCGCTGCGACTCTGGTGATTGTGTCTGGGACTTTGCTCTCAGCTGTCATGGCCCACAGCCTTAGCATGTCGGCCCATGGCCATGGCCCAGAGCACAGAGTCCAACAGCGCTCAGTCACTACTCGCGACATCACGCGACTCGTGATTAGTGACTAGGGACTAGCAACATCTAGCAACTACAGTAGCAGCTAGCAGTGACTAGCAGAGATGTAGTAAAAGTCGTGATTGCCACTGGTTACTCGTCTGTCGACACATCCCATAGCCACAACTCCCTAGGCGACGCCCCGTGGCCTTTTCTACAGCCCAGCCAAGATGTCGGAATTAACCAAGCGGGGCATGACAACCGCTGCATTGACGGTGTCTCGGATTGGCAGCCAAACTTTGGCACACTTCGATCAGCAACCAGCGACAGCTGTCCAGAAGCCTACCGGAGACATGTTCCGAACCAAGGTCATGACCTACAATATTCTCGCAGACGAGCTTTCCTCGAATTTGGTTCCCCGCACAATGGAGGAGATGGTCTGGGGACATGCTAGGGGCAGCTTTGGCCAGTGTAGCACTAAGTCACTAAGTTGCCACGAGTCGGCTGCAGCCGTCACGCACGGTCGAACGCCGCAACCACGCACTTACCATTCATCAGGAGCCCTCCGCGGAGACCCTGATGCAAGTTTTTGGTGAGGACACTCAGAGCAGGGCATTGTTTTCGTTGGCATGGCACCAGTTGTTTGAACCTGGATTGCCATATACTGCGACTTCTGTGGAGGAAAGCTTCAGCTGTCACAGTCTTGCTGAAAGCTCTCGGGAGGACTGGAAGATCAAGTGGCCTGCTCTAACGAAGGCTGGGCTTCGCTGGTGCAAGCGCACAAAGTGTGGTCGAGCTTTGGCAGGCTTTGAATGACGAGTACAGGAAGTGGCACCCCATGAAGACCTGGATCGTGGATCCGGAGGCTGTGTCGGACGACTCGTTTAGTGATGCATCTCCTGCACATCGCTCCGCTTCATGGCAGGGGCTGAGAATCAAGTCCCGAGGACTCCGACCCTACAGCATCATCTGAGTCGGCAGTCTTAGTCTACATGTAGGCCCCTGACCTCGCCCTGTCACGTGGGTGCAGAATCGTAGTACAGTCTGCTGCCTTCGGCAGTCCGAACTGGCAACGCTGGTGTACGACTCCTGTGAGGACTTTGGGACAAGGAAGATCTCACGAAGCTGTCTAGCGAAGGCTGGAAGCTCGACGGCGTGCAGGCTCCGCAGCATTCAATGCCGTTCTAGCCGGTACACGCTGAGATAAAGGCTCCTTAAAACATAGTTTTCAGCGAGTGGAAGCTCGGTAGGAAGCTTTGGCGGGTGGGTTGCTGGGTTGCAGGCCTCGAGATGTTGCATGTCAGCGTGCTCTTGACGCCCATACCCTCGGAGCCTGCTTGATCTACGAATCTTTTTCAACACGCGGGCACGAACTGAGTCCTTGAAGCAGCCCGAGCACTCAGATCGATGATATGTCAAAGTTGAGTTGGAACAGTCGCAAGGACTTGATTTCCAAACTACTTGCAGAGACTGGGTTGCATGATTTATGCTTTTGCTCGACGCGTTGCTACGTTCAGTTTTGGTTTCGCGACATCTTGGCGTCAAGGCTACGCTGGCGTTCACAGACGTTCGAAACATAGGATGCGAGATTTAAGAAGGCGATTTCTGATTGCAGCGAGCAATCACGAAGGCATCCGGTAGAAGTCAGGAAAGCACATGTTCAATCAGGTAAGACCATCCATTCGGATCTTTTCCTCTCGAGGTCCCCTTTAGTACCTGAGATCCCGTTTTGAGCGAGCTGATGGAAAAGTGAAGTCGTTGGAGCCACCTGGGGCAATTGAGCTCACAGGTGGTAGCGGAGCACTTGGTGTGCCACAGACAAGTTCTGGTGGCGCAGGTGCGCACGACGTCCGCGGATCCATTGAGCCTGCACGATGAGTGGTCCAGGGAAGGATGAGGAGAGGCCTCGACTCGAAAGGTTCGACGGGAGCCAGCCGTCTACATATAGGCGCTGGCGTCGCAAAGCCGAGTTGATGCTCTTAGCGCTTCCGAACACGTGCTCCAAGGATCGGTGGGGCGCCAAGCTCCTGGAATATGTGGCCGGTGAGGCAGAGGAGGTGGTCGAAGGATTGCCTCTTGAGAAGGTCATTAATGATGGTGGTCACCTTTTGATCCTGGAGGCGCCTGATGCTCGTTACAAGGATCTGCAGAAAGAAGCGTTGCACAATCATCTTCTGGAATATTTCTACGGGTTGCAGATCAAAGCTGGTGAATCATACAGGAACATGATTGTTCGCCTTGAAACGGCGTACCGCCGTCTGCAGGAGCACAGCGTGGAGTTGCCAACGGAAGTTCGAGGTTGGTTCATGATGAGAAAACTCCAGCTGGACACGGCATCGGAAGCCTTGCTGATGACACATACCAAAGGGTCGCTGAAGTACGAAGATCTTGTTCGTGCAGTTCAAGCGATCTTTCCACAAGGTGTTGCCAAGAATGTGAATCACAAGACGAAGGAGGTCTTCGAGGCCGACAGCACCTCAACCGAGCTTGAGGACACAGAGCAGTTGGAAGAAGTCTTCCAAGCCGTTGCTGACCAGGTTCAGGCATCGGAGGAGTACGATGATGAGGATGCTCTGGACGTCTTTGAGACTTACAAGGAGGTGAGAAAGCGCGTCCAGCAGAAGCGTTTGGGACGTGGCTACAAGGCCGATGCGGGCAACCAGTGGAAGCTTTCAGGTACTGTGAAGGGCAAGATTGAGATGCTGAAGAGCCGAACCAAGTGTCATCATTGTCAAGAACGAGGACACTGGAAGAGAGAATGCCCACGGCGTGGACAAACCGGCAACGCGGTGCGGCAGCCTCGACCAGGAAGTTCGAGCGATGCGATGGTGGCCGACGACTTGGAGAACGGGTACAAGGGAATCGATGAGGATCACTTTCTTGATGTGGATGAGCTGGAGAAGTTCGAGATTTTTCTGGCAGAGAAAAACGGCGACGTGGAAGTGATCGTGGCGGATCGCCAGGAGGTGTATGGCGATGAAGGAGTGATTCGTGGGGACTTTGAGCGTAGCTTGAGTGAGTTTTTGAGCGGTTCAGCTTCGAACCAGGATGTGCATCTCAGCGAGGCATACATGAGTGAGTGTGCGAGTCTTGCTGAGCACGGGGTTCCAGATACTGCGTGTAGACGTACCCTAGTCGGGGAGAGGGTCGTGAAGCGCATGTCGGAGGCACTAGCGAAGTCAGGGCTGCGGATTCGTTATGTTCGAGAGAGGCATGATTTCCGCTTTGGCAATGCGGGCACTTTGAGCTCATCGGTGTCAGCTCTGATTCCGGTGTGTCTCGGGGGCAAACGGCTGGCGATAAGAGCGGCTGTTCTGCCAGGTTCCGGGTCAGATACGCCACTTCTGATGTCGAAGGAGTTGTTGCGTAGTTTGCAAGTCAAATTAGATATGGGGTCAGATATTTTGGAAATAGGCAAGTATGGGGTCAAAGTGAAGGTGCGTGAGACTGAGAGAGGGCACTATGCACTGCCTTTATTTCACGGATTGCAGAAGCCGACGGTGAAGTCGAATGTGCAAGCACAGACGCATGAGGTGAATGCTGCAGAGTTTTCAGTCCTGAAGGAGCAAGCTAGACCTGAAGGCAAAGACCTCAAGCCTGAGTGCCATGAGTTACACAGGCGGCTCGATGACGGACGTGCCCATGGAGAACTTCACAAGGACTCCCCTGATCGAGCAGTTGATGAGCGAAGTGGCCAATCAGGCCACGGGGGAGATGAGCGACATCAGTGCGAAGATTCTGGACGAGGCACCAGATCACAGCGAAGACGATTGCGACGCACACGTGCCAGGCGTCGAGGGCAATCTGGGAAGGATGATATTCAACATCGGCAAGTACCAGAAAAATGGCCAGCTGATGAACTTCAAGACGGCCTACGAGACGGACAAGAGATATGTGTCGTGGGTCAGAAAGTTTGTGAAAGGGCGCGTGGGCAACTCGGACAAGGGCAGCCATCCGACAATGACTCAGTTCAGGTTGTACATTGCTCTGCGCGATCAGCGCAAATCCCAACGTCTCCAGGCAAGCCAGGAACCGATTCCGAGTGCAGCGAGATCCTCTATGCAAGCGCCAGCGGTGATGCAGAGCCGCCCCAAGGCCAAGTCGAAGGCGGCAGCCAAGCCGTCGGTGAGGCCACCGGTGGCAGCCCAAGGGTACACTCGGAGCGATCGTCCGACACAGGAGCAACTGGGGCCTCCACCATCAATGCCACGGAGGTCGAGGAGACTGTGTGGGAGAACCAATGGCTGGTGATGCAAGAGGAACCCGAGGAGACGGCAACGGAGAGGCGCCGCCGGATCATCCGCCAGCGGATCGAGGAGCTGACCTTCCAGCTCGAGACGTTGGAGGACGAGGCGGAGCTCTGATCGAGCATGCTGAAGGACATTCTCCATCAATTATGAGTAGTGCCGAGAAGAAGCTGTGCAGGCGTGGGTTGGAAGCCTGCTCTCTGAAGCCAGTTGATTCAGAACACCACGCCCTGGTGGCGTGCTTTTTCGTGTGTTCGTGTTTTCACTTGCACTCTCAGATGGCAAGCTCAGCAAGCTCTTCGTTTCCCGCAACATTGTTTTAGCAGCATACAACATTTTACGACGTGTTCTGAATTGACAACAGATTCCACCAAACCATTTGAAAATGTTCGGGCATAACCGAACACCGGTCCGAGAGAGATAAAGTTATGGGACAAACTTTCAAGGACATAAGGGCATGGCCTTAAGGTGTGGCTCTAGGCCTCTAGGCCTTGGAGTATGGAGGCCTGGAGGCCTGGAGCCCTGGAGCCCTGGAGCCCTGGGGGGGGGGGGGCGCCAAAAAAAAAAAAAAAAAAAAATCTTGTGTGCAAAATCTCTGGCCAATTTTTTTTTTTTTTTTTTTTGCGCCCCCCCCCGGGGTTTCAAGGACATAAGGGCATGGCCTTAAGGTGTGGCTCTAGGCCTCTAGGCCTTGGAGTATGGAGGCCTGGAGCCCTGGAGCCCTGGAGCCCGGGGGGGGGGGGGGGGGGGGCGCCAAAAAAAAAAAAAAAAAAAAACTTGTGTGCAAAATCTCTGGCCAATTTTTTTTTTTTTTTTTTTTGCGCCCCCCCCCCCCCCCCCCCGGTTTCAAGGACATAAGGGCATGGCCTTAAGGTGTGGCTCTAGGCCTCTAGGCCTTGGAGTATGGAGGCCTGGAGCCCTGGGGCCCTGGGGGGGGGGGGCGCCAAAAAAAAAAGAAAAAAAAAATCTTGTGTGCAAAATCTCTGGCCAATTTTTTTTTTTTTTTTTTTTGGCGCCCGGGCCCCCAGGGGCCATCCGGAGGGCGCATGTCTGTAAGCAGAGGATGCCCGGGGCCTTCGGCCTTTGGCACTCCCAATCCAGTGTTGCTCAATCATTTCAAGGTTTCCAGTATGCCACCAATCCTGTCCTGTCCAATGAAACATCCCTCTGTCAAGACTTTACGCTTGCTATTGTTGTCCACCACCTAGGAAAGCGGCTCCAACACCTGAAAACTGTGACAGAAGTATGATGGGTAATTCATTCTACACAGTAAAAGTATGATGGGAATAAGATCCTTGTACCGGGACCCAAGTTCAGAAGGAGTTATTGGGCCTCGAACCCAAATGCATATGATGGTCCTAACCGTCTCAAGAGATGCTGGGTGGCGAACCCAAAACCTTAGACTGTAGAAGATATTGGACCCTCACCCAGAAACTTAGACAATGCAGTAAAAATTGCAAGCTACAATATCCTTGTTACATTTGAGGCGGAACATATATAGTTACCTGGAAGCCAACCTTGGTATATAGATGTTTGTACCAACATATATATGTATGTATCTATATACACGTCTGTGTATGCATGTTGGTATATGACATGAAGGCATGCATACACACCTGCATATGGATGTGTAAGCTTACATACACACATGCTCATGCTGTTTCCATGTTCATGCTTTTCCCATCCTTATGCACACATACATATATGCTTAATACATATGTACATACACGGGTATATACGTACATACATAAGTATCACGGAAACATGTGCAATATTTCTGAAATAAGCGAGCATATGTGTATGCAACAATGAGGCATTTAGGCAGCCATGCACTGAAAGGAAAATGGAGGGCCGCAGGCTCCTATCCCAAACCCCGAAAGGGCATGGTGGGTACAGGATGCGGAATTTCAAATCTGTGTGGAAGCACGTCCTCCACACCTGTACATATATACATCTACATATACATGTAATATATGTGTGTGTACATATATATATATATATACATAGATATGCACGTATACAAGTTCATGCACTCTCGAAGCCTATGCAACCATATACAAGTTCGTGAACTTTGGAAGCCCATGCACGCGCACACACATGTATATGCATAAATCTATCTCTATATAAATATGCACATATAGATAGGTTTTTTTGCGATATACATGCAAGTACCTGGGTATGTAACCGCAAGGCCACGCTGCAGTTGCACACACGATGTAAATTGGAACCTTGCAAGCATATTATGGGTGGATGACACATGTATACATGCATACACACACATATAACTTTGTGTGCATCACGGAAATGGGTAATTACATTGTCTTTGGGATTTACATGGAAGTGGGTGGATGATGGCGAACAACAGGTCTTCAATAGAATAACTGATTAACATGCCCTATTACACCGTCAGCTAATCCTTAAAAGGTGTGGCCCACCCAGCCAGAAATGCAAATCACATTAGGGGATGCTGGGAGACCACCAGAATAAAAACCAGAGTCTGAACACTTTAGTACATATCACGGGCTACACTTATCCACGAAAGATATATAGTGTGTAGCGAACCTGAGTACCGAAAACGATGACGTGTGTCCAGAGCATCCAAACTCTACTGGAAGACATTCGGCTGAAACGCAGTGCCGCGCATGGATGTAATGAGCCAAACCCCCGTAGAAGTTCGATGAGTGGCGGAACCACAACTGGATCCTCAAATCGATGACTGTTTTCCCAAATACAGGCAGACTAGAAGATATTGCACTCTCAATCCAAGGCTTCAATAGTAGATGACGGGGTAGCAAACCTTCAAAGGTGGCAAACCCCTCAGAGCTTTATAAGTGTAGCCACGGCTTCAGATGCGGTTGTATATACACATCGATGACGGTCTGCCTGTCAATATAGTCGCTTTTATGCTGCAGCCCACGCCACAATTTCAATCCCTAGTTGAAGACATGATATATACATTAAGTTACAGGTCAGCATTCGTATGCACATGTAAATATACACATTTCCATAAACACGCATCCATTAAAGCCAGATGCATATGTGGATAGACACCCAGGGGTTGTGATGGATTCTTAATGATTTTGACATGATATGCCAGATCACGCACCTCAACTTCAATGGAGATGCTGGATGGCAAACCTCCTCCCTCTTCCCCAACAAACTCCTACTTCGTGACATGCCCAAGACTCAAAATCAAGGGTGCATGCCTGGATGAGGCAACACAACGCTTAATATTCTGGGTGCATAAACTCGTGTGAAAACCTCTAAATTACCGAGAAATACACGCCACCAGGGCGTTGCACTCTCAGTTGATTTGTACGGTTGCGATAGTGGAGTTGATGTGTTGGTTTTAGAAGAAGGCTGTGGAGAGGAGGTGCTCACGGCAGTGGGTCTTCAAGTGCAGCACATGTACAAGGGCTTGACGCCACAACAAATCCGAGATCCGCAGACTGTGGATGCAGCGCTCAAAAGAATCAGACAAGTGCGACCGAAGTTACTTCTGATTAGACCTCCTGATCACATGACACGCACCAGAGGTGATAAAGGCATGGTCAGAACTTTTCATGCTCGGCATCGTGCTGCATTCACGCGTTTAGTGACTGCATGCATTGCTGAACAGTTGTGTGAGGGTCGCTTGTTTGCTGTGGAAGATGTGAATGAGAGTCTGAGTGAGCGTGTGAGACAGTGGAAGAAAGAAATGAGAGACGAGCGGACTTTGCTTGTGCAGCGAGTTGAGTGTGACAACATGTGGCGTTTGTACACGAACAGCCAAGACATTCAGGAACAGGCACAGAAAACGTGGATTAATCAGCGTGAGCTGCAGGATCCAAAGTGTTTCATGAAGGACATTGCGGCAGGCGTGTTGCGAAGCAAGCAGCGTGTGAGCGAGGTGCATGTGGCGCATTGCGTGTACACCATTGAGGATTTAAGGAGTGATGCGAGTCAGGATGATAGGAAGATCCTGACTATTCTTCGTAGATGTCACGAGAACTTAGGTCACCCTTCACGGCACGCATGAACATGTTGCTGAAGGCCGCGCACGCGAGTGAGAGAGTGCTGAGATTAGCAAAGGGACTTGAATGCGAGACTTGTGCTGAGTGGTCACGTCCCAAGGCACATCATGTTACCAAGATGCGTAGGGCAACCGAGTTCAATCAGCAAGTTGGCGTCGACACTTTCGAATTGGAGGTTCGGGATGTAAAAATGCATTTCCTTAACATTGTCGATGAGGCCACCGGGTTCCAGATGTGTGTTCCGTTGTGGAAGGGGATGCAAGCGAAGAACGTGCGCAATTCTTATAGGAAGAACTGGAAAAGGTGGGCTGGGCCTCCTATCAGGCTGTTTTGTGACGGTGGAAAAGAGTTTGAAGGGGAGTTTGAGCATGGGCTGTCCTTGGATGGAACGTTTGTGGACTCGTCAGCTGCTTACTCTCCGTGGCAAAAAACGGGCTCGTGGAACGCAAGGGAGATGTCTGGAAGACTGCGTATACTAAAGCTCAATTGGAAACCAGGCCCCGAAACAAGCAAGAAACGCAGGAGCTCGTCGATCAAATCAACAACGCCGTGAACAGCATGACAAGGAAAGATGGCTATTCTCCTTTTCAGCATGTGTTCGGAAGAGATGTGCGAGTGCCAGGTCTTGTGAGTTCCGATGTTGATCCTGTTATCAATTCGTCCTTGGTCCAAGGTGAAAGTGTGTTCGAGCGTCGTATGGAGTTGCGAACGGCCGCGCGACAGGCCTTTCTGCAAGCGGACGGGGACATGCGAATACGTAAGGCCATGGAACATCGAAGTAGACCGGAGAGAGGTCCTTTCACGGAGGGCCAACTCGTGTTTTTCTGGCGCAAGAATCGTTTCGATAATCGAGCACATTGGCATGGACCTGCCGTTGTGATAGGCAAATCAGGAGCGTCGAAAGTGTGGGTTGCGCGAGGAACCAAGGTGTACAGGTGTTGTCCGGAACAGTTGCGTGGACTCTCACCAGATCAGGAAGCGACTGTGAAGCTGCTTCCGGCAGATATGGTTCACATTAGAGGACAGGTGAGTGCCAAAGGCGCGGGCAATTATCATGACCTAAGCATGTTGGAACGGCCCCAAGACCATCAAGCGCCGGAGGTGAGAAATCCGGACAATGAACCAGCTGGTGATCAGAGTCAACCGGTCGCTGTTGGTGGTGTGGGAGATCTGCTTGATGAGTTGGAAGACCCTATGCAAGTGAGTCAAGAGTCGAGTGAACCTGCTGTTGATTCAGCAGTGCCGGCTGTGCCGAGGGCCGCAACTGAAGCTGGCGATGAATCACCAGCTAAGCGGGCAAGGAGAGAACCAGCACCGACGCAGTTGACTGCCATGTTGAGACTTGATCCTGAAGTGCTTGATGGAGGGCGTGCGAGTAGTTCTGGTGAACGGGCTACGGAACCTGATGCTGCTAACATTCCGGTGCCAGGACCTGATGAGGATGATGACTTAGAGGTTTTAGCGGTTGATGGTGACAAGTGGATTGTTGATCATCGTCGATCGAGATTGATTCGCATGCACAATGTCGAGCGTCAAGGTCTGTATGTGCCAAAACCGTCTGAGTTTCCAGTGGAGGCCACTTGGGTTAAGCGTGAGTGTTGTATGGTGGGACATGATCGCTTTGGAACCAAGATTTGCTGCGATTATGATTGGATTGGGCGCAACATTCCTGAGGTGCTGATACGTGGCAAGTTCTGGACAGGTTACACGGAGTTCTACTTGGAGAATGGTTGGAGTGTCAAGGAACTTGCACCGGAGGAGTGTCATGAAGTGAACATCAAAAAGGGTCGGAAGGAGCCGTCTGAGTCAGAAATTCCAAAGACTAGGAAAACTGGTCTCGATCAGGCCAAGATCAAAGAGTGGAAGAAGCTGACAGATAGCGGTGCAATCAAGGTCCACGTTGGAGAAGCTGCCAGAAAGATCAGGAGTGCACTGAAAGCAATGTTTCCGTTCAAGCATTGGAAAATGAAGGAAGGAGAGTTCCTGGGCAAGACTCTTCAACAACAGTCGGACGGAAGCATCAGAATCCATCAAAGGGAGTATGCCAAGCAGCTGAAGGGTCTGTCACTTTCCAGAGAGCGTCGTCGAGAGTTGAGTGAGAGCGTGAGTGAAGAAGAGAGACGTCAGCTGAGGGGAGTGCTAGGTGCGGTCAATTGGCTAGTTTCAAGCAGTAGACCGGATGTGGCTGCGTGGTGCTCGTTGTTGCAGCAAAGAGTTTGTGATGCGACGGTGTCGGACTTGATTGAGGCCAATAAACTTGTCAGCTTCTGTCATGACAACTGCAATGCTCATGTGTGGATACGTAGTATACCCATGGAGCAAGTGCAATTCACGATGCTGTCCGATGCGGCGTGGGCCAACGCTCAAGGGTGTTGTAGTCAGGCAGGGTACATGATTGCAGCATGCACTGATGATCTTCCAGCTGGACGCTGGGGGCTGTTTTCAGTGATGAGATGGCGAAGCTACAAGCAGGATCGCCAAACGCATTCTACACTGGGTGCAGAGCTGCTTTCACTGTCTAGAGGACTGGCTGAAGCAAGATGGCTTCGTTCAATGTGGTGTGAAGCAAGATTTCCAGAATACAACTTGCGTGCTGACCACGTCTGGAGCTGCAAGATCCCCATCACAGCAGTGATTGATTGCAAGCCTGTTTACGACCACGTGGAGGGGCCAGTGATTGCAGTGAAGGACAAGAGAGTTGCCATCGAAATGATGTTAGTCAAAGAGGACATCTCAAAGTACAATATTTCTCTGAGATGGATGGCGACGAAGCAGATGATTGTGGACGTTCTTACCAAACGTGGAGCGCCAATGGGGTTGTTTAGGAATATTATGCAAAGGGGTGAGTTTGTGTTAGTTGAAGACAAGGAAGTGGCGGCAATTACCTCAAAGAGGTGATTGCACCTGATTTGAACATGTCAACTCCCGGATGTGCGAGATTTAAGAAGGCGGTTTCTGATTGCAGCGAGCAATCACGAAGGCATCCGGTAGAAGTCAGGAAAGCACATGTTCAATCAGGTAAGACCATCCATTCGGATCTTTTCCTCTCGAGGTCCCCTTTAGTACCTGAGATCCCGTTTTGAGCGAGCTGATGGAAAAGTGAAGTCGTTGGAGCCACCTGGGGCAATTGAGCTCACATAGGAGTCATGAGAGTAGTCAGCTCCATGACGCAGGGCTCGGAGGAGACCCAAGATGCCTCAACTGGATTTTGTTGACATGTCATGCTGAAGCCCGGTTTCCGTTTAGGCTGTCGATACAAAACACAGCTGTGCAAGCGGTCCACAGTCTTGCATGTAATGGCAAGAACTATGCCCTCAGCGAGCGCTGCACTCCAGCTACCCTGTAACACTGTAACTTCTTTTGTGCACTTGTCTCACAATGTAGACAGACTTCAAAACAAGTCGAGGGGCACCGATAGGGTATGGTGTCATATTGCACAAGGAACATGCTTAGCTGTACTGAAGCACTGTGGATCCCCACGGTGGCGACTCATTCCTTCTGTCCGAGTTTTCGTTTCCTCTATTATGGCTGCTTTTGGGCCTGCGGCCTTGACATGCTTGCACGCCGCAAGCCTTCTTACGCAGGTTGAGGATGCGGTGACCCTGGACGGTGGCAAGACATTCCTCGGAGTTGCGCGTCAGCATCTCGACGAGGCCAGGCGGCCAGGCGATTGCAGATGCCAGCTGGGACTCGGACTCGATGGCAAGCTTCGCATTTCTCTGTTTCGAGGCCAGTTGCGAGAAACTCTACGCAGCACTGCAGAGAGTCCAAGCGGAGTCGAGGGCCTGGCAGGCACGGAGTAGGGCGGTAGGGGCTGGCTCTTGGGAACGGCACCTACAGTGAATGGGTGGAGGATACAGTTCTGTGATGTTCTGCGGCTCCTCAGAACCTCCAGTATTGGTGAAGGTAGAAGTCGGAATCAAAGCATACAGTAGCTGCCCGCAAGTTGCCTGGAGATGGGGCTTTGGCTTGGGCTTGTGCGGCATGTTCGCGAGGTTCGAGGTCCCAGAATCCTCGAGAAGATCGATGCCATTCGGCCAACGTTCTTGGCTTTGCAGGAGTACGACGTTCAGGACATTTCGAGCCGATCGCCTCAATTTTCGCTCCTGGCAGTTCGCACAGTAATTTTCGCAGTATGCCTTCTGTTAGACTGGTGACGTCTCGTCTTCGCCAGACGGGCGAAGACTGTAGGAGGCCTGCAGCCATTCTGGGTCGAAGCAGATAAGCTGGGACTGGTAACCCATTGGTCTGCAGACTGTCATGCGAGCATAGAGTGCTGGGTCCTGAGGATGAAAGGGGCAGTTCATCAGGTTCTGGCCTCTGGACTTCAGTGTTTCAGGGAATTAGCTCCATTGCAAGCGCGGCGTTGCAGCTTCGCGCTTCCGCTGCTGTTGCGGCATGTCGGCCTCCAAGCTCCTGGACAAAAGCCATACTGCGGTTTCGGTTGCTGATATCTGGGTCCGAAAGTGGGGTTAGAATATTTGCATAAGCATGCTTCAGGCTGTTTGCGCTAACTCGTGCCGCATGGTTGATTCGCTGCATCGAGAATCATCTTCGGTTCAGTGCGCCTGAGGCTGGAGAAGAACATTGCAAACCTTGAACGGCGACTACGCCAGGACTTGACCATCCAAGAATCGGAAACATAAGTAAGGCTCGGAATGTTGCAGTGTGTCGTTCACTGCTGTGTCCCTTCAGAGCGTATCTAAGCGTTTGGTAATGTGGAAATGCGGAGCCATTGCAGGAGTTCAAGGCAGAGCTTGCGCAGGCCTTGACCGTCCAATCGATTCGGCTCGATGCCTTCGAGGCCCAACCCGGCCAACCTGGGAAGGTAAGACCGTGGACGGCACAGAACATTGTCGTACCACGGGCAGCATGAGGCGCATTTTCGCACGGTCAGCATTCTTGGTGTGATGCAGAACTAACGTGTAGCAACTGCCACGAAACGGTGCTTGAGTTCGAGAATGTCAGCCTAACAGCACTAGGGCCGTCAGACAGGCGCGGACAAGCGCCATCCAGCCTTCCTGTAAGACTCTGTGAAATCGTGGCCTAGGCCATTGGATGTGTGTATTTTGACATGGATGAGGCAGGCGCATACTTGTAGCGGGCTTCGTACGCCTTCAGCATGTTACTGTGCAGGCACAGCTCCAGCGCTTGCAGCCGAGCGCCGCCTTGTTGCAGGCACTTTCCCGGTTCGGAAGGGATCGGTCAAGAAACGAGTCTCCGGGAAGCTTCGAGATACCTATTGATTCCCTCATCTTGAGCTCTAACAACCCATGGGATCATAGCATGAATTAATTTCCTAGCGGAACTTCGAAGGCACAGCTTCGGCTTCGTCCGTGGAGATTTTGAGGCTGATGCCTGAAGCGGGTAAGGATTGATTTGTTTGTTGTTATTTGTTTTGCGCGGAAGAGGGGCTGCAAGTCAGGAAGGAAGAAAGGAGTTTGACAAAGAAGAGGAAACTCAGAAGCGAAGAAGGATCTAGAAAGAAGAAACACGGACGGAAGCAATGCACCTGACACGACGTGAGTTGCCTTCAAAATCCCCATGAGTGCGGCGCGTGCTACCAGTAAGTAGGCCTCTCGAGAAGCAGCGGGACGACCATACAAATGAGTACAACTAGTTGCCTGCTCTAGTACAGTACAATGACGACATGTGACGATAATTGCAAATGACGAATGAGCGACAACCAACCACTTCTGAGTAACTAAAGAGTACTTATTCACTAATCAGTATACTTAGTCATGACGCATTGCGCTGCCACTACCATTATCCCTATGACCATCACTATGATAACCGTTTTCACGACCACTATGACAAGGTCTGCAAGACTTACTACTGCTTTTGCCACAACTATTCTCATGTCTATTGCTATGACTATGGCTGTGCCATGGGTGGAGTGCACTCACATGGTGGTTGGGTTATGGATGAACGCACGGCGCAGTATACCATAAACGTCCATAAACGTTGCGTGTGACTCGCAACGGGTCAGTATGGTCGCACCATGGATGGGTTGATCTCAGAGGCATGAGACTATGCTATGGTCGGGCCATGGATGCTGTGAAGTCAAAACGAATAAGACCATTCACACCACTCTCGTTGGGCCATGGGTGCTGTGAACTCGCAACGCATCCGAACCATGTCGGGCCATCATTCTGGTTGGGCCATGCATGCTGTGAAATCACCATGCATTATTCGACCACGCTGGGCCACGAATGTTGTGAACTCACAACGCATCAGACTATGCACGTCATTATGGTTGGGCCATAGTTGCTGTGAACAGCATGTTAGACCATTGACTCATCCATTCTTGTTGGGTGGGGCCACGGATTGTGTTCTCTCAACACGCATCTGGCCATGCACACAAGTGTGGCCAAACGTTCGGGGCGGGGCCTAGTACTAGTACAACCACTATCACTACCACTACCACTACCACTACTACCACTACCACCACTACCACCACTACCGCCACTACCACCGCTACCACTGCCGCTACCACCAGCACCACCACCACCAGCACCACCACCACGACCGCAACCACCACCATGACATACCATGACTACCACTACTACAACTGCAACTACAATTACAACAACATCAATTACTACTACTACTGCTGCTGCTGCTACTACTACTACTACCACTACTACCACTAGTACCACTAATACCACTACTACCACTACTACCACTACTACCACTACTACTACTACTACTACTACTACTACTACTACTACTACTACTACTACTACTACTACTACTACTCCTGCTACTATTCTACTACTACTACTACTACTACTACTACTACTACAACTACTACAACTACTAATGCTACGCCTACGCCTACTCCCACTCCTACTCCGTCCTGCCCCTCCTCCGCCTCCTTCTACTCCTACTCTGTAGCGGTTCAGAGCCCGATTGGGCTATCCAAAACGCTCGTCTTCGTCTAGAAAACGTGGTGTACCACAGGTCAGAGGCGCAAGGAATCAGGCCATGGATCTAGGGAGCGCACACACTCGAGTTTTTCCACAAGACGTAAAAGAACGTTCCTAGGTGCATCTGTGCACAGCCTAGGACGGCTAACATCGTTCAAGCTGCGCTGGCTTCTGCCGATCATGCAAACGTGTGACAGCTACTGCCAGCTGGCTTCTGCTGATCACTCGGCTCCTTTGAGCCATCCACTTGCGAGCAAGGGTTCCTGTGTAAGACGGCTCCACCGACTTAACTATACAAGGAGAGGGCACAGGACATCAACATACTCGTACTCCTCCTCTTCCAACTCCTCCCACTCCTGTTCCTCCTATTCATATTCGCACTCCTACTACTGCTGCTGCTAATGCTACTGCTACTGCTGCCCCTACTGCTACACCTTCTCCTTCCCCATCTCTTACTGGCACTCCGGCTCCTACTACTACAACGACGACGACCGCGGCGACGGCCATGGCTGCTGTCACTGCGGCTTCGACTACGATGACGACTTCGGCGAGAAGGCGATGCTACTATGACTATGTGTATACACGATTTGGGCCCAAAGGCAGGGTCGGGGTTGGAAAATTTCACGGAACCAAGCTCCGTCCTTTCCCTCCCATCGTAATAGATGCACTGCAATGCAAAATGGAGGGTCTGCCCCCCCCACCCTCCCCCCACTTCGTCGCCCCTCCCTCTACTATTTTAAGCGTGCAAGCTGGAATTGAAGTGTAACCGACATGAACTTTTGAAAACCTATCGAACCAGCGTGGGGTTGCAAATGCGGGGTTTCCGTCTCCGCCCGCAATGTTAAGCTGGGCAAGCTTGCTTTAAAGGACAGAGTATTCGGTGTTCATTCCACGGCTGAGGCGAGTAGGCCAGTGCTTTTGGCTGGCAGACGCAGTCTAGAAGGACTGTATACTACTTGGGCTGGCTGCCTCTTTGCATCTCGGAAGGTGCATGCGGCGGGCATCAACTTCCATGCGAATCAGCAGGAGCTCGTGAATCCGAGATCCTGAAGTTGATTTGCACAGACCTGCCGGTGCAATAAGCATTCAAGCCATAGAACATATAATGTAGACTGTGCTACATTACATTACTACATTACACTAAACTAAACTATGCTACTGTATCACAAGTACACCACCGCACGAGACACTAGCCTAGACTGTTCTACTCGATAACACACTGTACCATGCGTGTTAAACTGTAATGTGGTGTAATATAATGTAATCAAATCTCATCTACCTAGCCTAATCTGAAAATGCTCTGCCGGAGTATATATGATACATCATCATACTGTAGTAGATGATGTTGTAGAATAGTCTATGGTGTATTATAGCTTGTTCTAACAGGTGTTGTGGTATCAAGTTATGTTAGAAGATATCATGATATACCATACCATAGTATCTCGCGTCAAATAGTATCCTGTTATGCCATAGTATGTTACATCGTGTTATATTATGCGATACTTGTAGTATCTTATAGAGTGCATGCATATATATATATATATATATGTATAGACATGTACAGATGACATCATATGTTACATTATTATGTTGTGTGGTGTTATATGATGTTATATGGATTGTATTATGTTAGTATAAGCTGGCGCGGGATTCAAGACGGCCCCTGTGTCCCAGAGATTGTCTACAAAGTGCAGATTTCCTTGCAATTCCCACCCTACTCGGGGTCCTTACAGACTCCACGCAAGTTCTCCTCTCACAAATCCTTCCTACTGCTTCTTTACTGTTACAATCCTACCGAATTACCTATTCGTCGGCTCTTAAATACGGCCGAATATTCAAGATGCCCCTGGGTGCTGGGCACATTTCTCACACGCTAACCCCCGAAACCCAAACAACCTGCCAATGAAACGGCACTTAAGTCTTACCAAACACACTTGTGCCGGGCGCGGGGCTTACACATTTCAGCTTTACCACCTGATCCTGTGGTAAACACTCGGTTCCGGCAAAATCGCGTTTAAGCGCCAGAAACTTTTGTTTTTTGATCAAGACCAAGGTACGTCTTAAATCCCGTGCCCGGATTAGTGTACATTGTACATATATATATATGCTCAAAATTGAATCAGTTGAGGACATTTAGTGTTAGTAGTTAGTGTATTGCTCTTATTATGATAAAGATCTTTTCATGCCCTGCTCTATTCTGATATACCTAAGTTTGATTGTAGTATAGGGTATGCCATAATAGGACTTGGCGTCATGATAAGACATAGCAAGATAGATGCGAGTGACATAACACAGCATAACATAATACAATGTAACAAAATGTTTTACATGATTCTACGATAAAAGCTTATAGAGTAGACTGAGTAGACTATGTTCAACACTTACACAGATAGTACACTCTATATAACAGATAAAACATACTAGTCTCTCGAGTAGGAGTCTGTAGCAGTTCCAATCCTGTGACAGTTTCTACTCGCAAAGCTCTGCGTGCGCTAGTACCATAACGGTGCAAGAAGGGTTATTGTATGGGTACGACACGGGTGCTGCAACGGGTTACTGTACAGTCTTTGCACGATGGCACCTTGCGCGTGAGTATGACCAAGCTTGTTGAAGCCTGGGGCTTGGGATGAATTCAATCAGAACGAAGCAGTGCTACACAGTGGTTCATCGCAATGTTACGTGTTGTTAAATTACACTTGATTTCTCATGTCAAACAGCGAGTCTCAGGAACTTGCAGTTCGATCGACGCTGATACAAGAGTTTGCCTTCGCTTTGGCTCGGCTCTGATCCTTGCAAAACCCATCCGAGCAAAAGCAGAGGTTGTCATCATGAGATGAAGAGAAATTGAGCTGAGGAACTGAAGGTGTTACTTGTATACTTCAGGAGTTAAAGAATTTCGTACAAAGTGCTTGAAGTTGTCTCTATCATTTGGAGGAAGACGGGCCTTTCTTGGGGAGTCAAAGAAGAACCGAGCAACATTAAGAATGAACCGGCACGCGAAGGGTGGCTGCCTGTAAACGCTCCACTTGTACTCCCCTGTCAGGGCAAGCTTGTGTCAAAGCACGACCCGCGTGAATGTTTGAAAACACATCGTTCCAGCACCGTGTTGCATGATAAGCAGAACAAGTCCCTACGAAACCCAGGGAATACATCAACGCAAGAACAACAGGCACAGCATGGCGCAGTGCAGCTTAAAAAACAACAAGCCCTCCACCCTCGAAGGTAAAGGCATCAGAATAGTCCAACCTTTGTGTGCCTCACGGCAGGATGTCAACCAGGACGAAGTTTCGAACAAAAGCCTTGTACGAGGTGAGCCCGTGCAAGGCGATCTTTTCCCTGTGCCTTGCCGACATTCTTGAGGCTTGTTGTAGAGAGCGGCTTAGGTCTGTTAACGTGAAGCATCCTTTAGTGCGAGGTCGTGCCTTTGGAAGATGCAGTGGCATCCAGGCAGAGATTATGATCAGTGACTAGTGTTATCAGTGTTCAGCATTCAGATAATGGGAGGCAGAAAGCCGGACTTGGTGTCAGGTCGGTTCAGACTGGATGTCATGAGGGAAGCATCCTGTCTCCGCATGATGCTTTCGAGATGATGATCAAGCCACGAGATCCCGTGACCATGTCTCGTGCCTCCAGTAGTCGGAGCCGTCCCGGAAGGCTCATGGGGAGGTTACAAAAATCAGACAATCACTCAAGGTACAGGCGGACTCGAGTGCACCCAGGAACAAGAGGTCGCCGTCGCGGATGCCGAGTCGGATCCAATGGAGCCAGTGGCATTCTTGGAAATTTGGCTTGAATTGGACTTTCGCCGAAGGATTTCAGGGGCGGAGCTCGACGGCAGAGCTCGACTCGCGCGTCGGGCGGAAAGCTTGTTTCGTACCAAGTGTTTAACGTTTGCAAGGAGACCTCCTGGAATCTTGTGCTGGTGCTCGGCTACACCGGTGCAGGTTGGTGTGCCGCTTGCCGCTTTAGGTCGGAGAAATGCCGTGAAGGTAACATTAAATGAGTGCAACATCTGATGTGGGAGTTGATATGATGACATTCGCTATAGCACGTGGTAAGGATTCGAGTGCAGCATAGGAAGACTTCAACGAAACACCACGAACTATTGTGCGAATGCTTGTTGACAGTTGACAGAGGTTCCCGAGTTGTGTTGACTCTTCGAAGTCTGGCACGAAGCAGCTCAGTCTCAACAGAGGTTTGATCCCATAACACCAGCCAAAGCTGAGGACGTGGTGATTGCTTGTCTGCTCTTCCTGGCCAGCATGGCCACGCAAGCCTTTTTCAGTTGGATCTTGCTGAGCCCGGTCCAGCATTAGAATCTCTTTTCGGGATCGCTTGCACCGGTAGCCTATCAGACGCACAAGGGCCGATCGCAAGTTGCATTCATGTAGCAGGGTTTGGCACCGATTATATACTGTCGCTTTTTGGCTGATTGCACACAGTGGTTGTTTCGGCTGAAGATCTCGCGGGCTTCTCCGATTGACTGCAATTGTCAACGCAGGGGTTCTTTTCACTCGCGTTCATCTGCACGGTCGACAAACATTAAACCATCACGTGGCCTTCCTGCACTGCCGAACCCAATGCAAAGCCTTCGAGCTGAGCTATGGTCGAATTCTTGCGAGCACGACGGAACTTCCGAAGAGTCAAAAAGCAAAGGTCTCTGTTGCAGCGACCAGCAGCCACACGAGCAGGCAGCACGGCACCACACAGCGGCCACCAACACGTCACGACCACGACCACCACCAGCACCACCTATACCACCACTACCACCGCCGCCGCCACCGCCGCCACCACCACCGCCACCGCCACAACCGCCACCGTCATGACCGCCACCGCCACCACCATCACATCAACGGCTGCTACTGATGATGCTGCTGGTGATGGTGATGATGATGCTGCTGTTGTTGTTGTGAATGGTGAGGATGGGCATGCGGATCAAAGCGAATTTAATCAGGATCAAAAGAAGTATTCAGTATCAAGAAAAATTAAACCCGGATCAACAACCATTTAATCAGAAATCGCTACTGCGACTTCGATTGTTCGATTATTTCCGTTATGACTTCTATTGCTACACTACTACTACTACTACCACCACCACCACGACTACTACTACTACTACTACTACTACTACCACTACTACTACTACTACTACTACTACTACTACTACTACTACTACTACTACTACTACTACTACTACCACGACGACGACGACTAGTACTACTACTAGCCACCCCCCCCTCCCAACTACACTTGTTCCATCCGGGCTGGGCAGCGGTAGCTGCTAGGCGCCTTAACTGCGATAGTTGCAGAAGATGCACGGGCTCAGGCTCCTCATCTGTGACAGCTGCAGAAGTTGCAGAGGCTCAGTTTCCTTAGCTGTCACAGCCGGTGAAGTTGCAGGGGCTCAGGCCCCAAAACTGCGACAGCAGCTGGAGTTGCAAGCTCGACGGGGAAGAAACTGATAAACCCCAGGTGGTCGGATAGTACGATAACGCTGTAAATACCGTGCAAAACCCAGGTGCTGCCAAGAAGGGTTTAACATTTCTAAAACCTGAAGCGCAACATCTTCTAAACCTCAAAAACAAAGATGCCAGCTGTACGTGGGAGGGGCTCGCCAACACCCCTACCGCCCAACCTCTGCGTAGGAGGGTCGGTTTTTGAAGTGGTGTGTGTGGTGTGTGCGCGCTTGAGTGTGGAAATATTGTTCAGGGTGTCCGCAAAACAGTGTCGTGATCATCCCCGAAGAAGCTTTCCCCCAACCAAATTCGAGTTTTTTGCAAACAGTTCCAAACAGCAAAGTTTAATACGCATAGTCGAGAAGTAGAGGCTCAGAATATGTAACAAAATCTGACATCACGAAAGTACCGTAAATACCGAGCTAAACGGCTCTTGTGGTGATACTGCTGGGTGTGTTCGCGTAACACTGTCGTCATCATCCCCCCCCCACCCCCCCACCCACCCCCAGAAGCAAGTCCAAAATCAAGAGCCCGAGTTTGCAAACTCGACAAGTCGATTTTTAGGCCTCTTAGGATGATCGCACATGACGAAAGTGCCGTAAAAACCGAGTAAAATGGATGTTGCCTTAACATGGTTGAGAGCAAGTGTAGTTGGTAGGGGGGGTGCCTACTACTACTACTACTACTACTACTACTACTACTACTACTACTACTACTACTAGTACTAATACTACTACTACTACTACTACTACTACTACTACTACTACTACTACTACTACTTCTACTACTTCTACGACTACGACTACTACTACTACTACTACTACTGCTACTGCTACTGCTACTGCTACTACTACTACTTCTACTACTACTAGTACTACTACTATTGCTACTACTACTACTACTACTACTACTACTACTACTACTACTACTACTACGACATCTACATCTACATCTACATCTACATCTACATCTACATCTACTTCTACTTCTACTTCTACTTCTACTTCTACTTCTACTTCTACTTCTACTTCTACTTCTACTTCTACTTCTACTTCTACTACTACTGCTACTACAACTTCTCCTATTGTGATAACTATTGCTATTACTATCGCTATTCCTTATACCATTGTTGTTTTATTATTCATTATTGCTACTACTACTACTACTCCTCCTCCTCCTCCTCCTACTACTACTACTACTACTACTACTACTACTACTACTACTACTACTACTACATTTATTACTACTACTGCTGCTACTACTACTACTACTACTACTACTACTACTACTACTACTACTACTACTACTACTACTATTACGGTTACTATTAAGGTTCTTGGCTCTCAGCTGAGAAGAATGTGTGTGAAAACCGAGCCTCGACTTTCTAACGGTACGCCCTCTAGAAGGTCTGGGGGCACGCAAGACAACATGGCTGTAGGGCGCATGATGGCCTGCACTGTTGCTCGACTTGCTTTGCACTGCATAGCCTTCAGCATCCTCCGTAGCCTTGCTTGGTGGATACCCGGGGCTCAATCGGCAGTGGCCTCAGCAGCATGTGCACTTCAATGCGAGCTGTTTGCACTGGTTACCGCCTTTTCTGATTGGACAGTGCTCATCTGCCAGGCAGAACTTCACCTTGTTGTCTCCTGGTGTATGCCCATCTGTGCCCTCCATCTGTCTGGCCGGCCAGCATCTTTACAGTGGCGTCTCGTACACACCACGGGCGGTCGGCTTCAGACACGGTCGTTCGGGGCTGTACGCACAATGATTTCCACGGAGAATGCCAAATTGTGGGGTACCGTGACCACAAGGTTGCCCGGGGGCTGCTGCGGGGCAAACGTCGAGGCAGGCGTCGGCACCGGTGGGCCACTCGCTCGATGGCCTTCGCGACTGCTGTAGTGCACCGGAGTGGGTGGTGGCGGTCCGGCTGGAGGGGCTGCCTTTGCGGCAGCTGCAGCATCCCCGGTGGGTTCGTCCTCTGTGCTCTCGAACAGGTCCTCAATCGAATCCGAGGTAGTGGTAGGCCATGGTCCCGAGCCCAAGCCTGTACGAGGAGGTCTTGCAGAGCCAGCCTTGGCCTTGGGGCTGGATCGCGGTGGCGGTGTGCGTGAAGCTCCATGGATGGGCCTGGTCAGGCCGTAGCTGAGAAGGCGTCCAACAAGGCCGAGAGGGTGCTTAGTGGAGAACATCTTGTTCAGTCCCGCCTCTGCCCCGGAGTTATCGCAGAGAGACGGAAGCGGCAGGGGAACCCTGCTGCAAGGAGCCAGCGCGGAGAGGGCGAGAATCAGCCCTGCCTGAGCCAGGGCTTCACAACTGGCGATCTCCTTAGCCAAGTCATTGCCGAAGGGAATGCCTGCAGCTTCAAAGTCCTGAACCGAAAAAGTTTCCGTGAACCAAACCTGACCTAGAACCGGACAAGAAACAAAACCCCCCAAACTGCAAGATGCGCCGGACGCCGATGCATCGGCGAAGGCTTCAACGTCTGCGACCTGTGACGGTCGCATGCTGGCGAGTGGTGCAACGTGTTGCAACCAACGCTCGAAGGCTTGCAACGCACGGATGGAAGCGTTCGAGAGTTTCCGCCTCGAACTGCTGAGGCATTCAACGCGGAGCCACTTTTATGCGTCACGGCGACCTTGGACAGGTCCGCCAGCGTTGCGAAAGGCACATGACGAGCCGAGAGAAGCTTAGCGCCAGCGGGGATAGCTGTGTGAGGCGGGGAGACTTTAAACCTGAGTGAAGCATCCAGAAAATTGCGAATGCCGTGCCACGACTCCGGAGCAATGCTGAAATTAGTGGCAGCCGGGGACCACAAGTCCTTGTAGAAAGGGTGTAGCATGGCACGCATGGTGGGGAAGAGTGCGCAAGCCCACATGGCTAGGCCCAGGAAAGACTCCAGCTCTTTGGTCGAAATGCGGCCACCACCGTGAAGAAGGGAACGAACCTGATCAAGGAGGCGTAAGCGTTTTTCTTCCCTGAGACTAATCGTAAGCATAACCGCCAGCCTATCCAATCGACCCGACAAGAAATTTGCAATTTTTTCCAACTGACGGGAATGCCCATGACCTGAAGGAAAAGGCAGATGACGGCACCGGAAAGCGGCATGAGGCTGGCTGCCTGGCTGAAAATGAAGTCGTCAACGAACAGGAGGCCCACATGGGCGAGGAACAGCAGGGTGTCAGGGAAAAGTCTGCATACACTGTGCGTACCGCTTGCTCTACCATGCCACGGTTGTAGGTGGGATCAGTGTCGACCTTTCGTTTGCTTTTGCATCCTCTTAGGTCCCGACATGGCACATGTTTGGCCGCCGGACTATGAGTCTCTCTGTGCCGAGCACCTGGCACTACCACAGTGGAGCGGTGACTGTTTGCAATCACTTCTCTCCTTGCTGCCAGGAGGCGAGCCGGGTCGCGGTCGCCTCAGCCACTGTCACTTTCACTTGTGTGCACTGGTCCGCGACTGTCCTGCTGCAGGAACTCCCACAGCCTTCGTTGATTGGCAGTGGGACCTTACACCCTGGTGCGGGACTGGGCATCCCTTGCAGTCTGGTCTTCGGTGCCTGGCATACCTCGCAGGCTACGATCAAGCTTCTGCGGCCAATCCTGGCCGGGGCCCTGTCTCCTGCCACTGTCCTGTTGTCTGCTTGAGGACTCCTCCTCCTTGCTTTGTCCTACCTGCGATTGGTCCCTTTGGCTCAGCTGGGTTACCTGGACCCCCGCCCTGTGCATTACATTCCACAATTGGGACTCCTTAATGCTCCGCCTTTCACTGGGGACCACTCTGCTAGGCCTAGATCGTCTGGTGTCAATTGGGGCTTTTTGATAGGGCATAGTGGTCGGTG